GGGCCAGTTTTCTGCAAGTATGATAAATAAAAATAGTCACCCATACCAAAAACAGTGATTTGGTGACCCATCAGTCCTAGTACCATATAATGAACAGACACTGCCATCCCCAAGAGGCACCTCTGGATCCATGTCTGGAGTCATGTACAAGTATCTATTACAAATGACCTTTAAACTTACCTTAAGGAGTTAAGGAGAAGGGGGAGGTTTAAACCAGCCCATCCAACCCAGCCCAGGTATTGTTCTCATTAAATTACAGTGCACCATATGAGAAAAGACAAAAAGAGGCCTTGCACATCAGGGTAAGCCAGCCATCATCACTCCAGGCAGTCTGCAGGCTGAGACTGAGCCTCACAGCCTACTGTTGAGAAGGGCTCTCCAAGGCTGACTATAAGAGCTCTCCAGCTCAGGGAGGCCCGGAAGAACCCCACACCCACTCCCAGTCCCAAATCTATTCAGTAATTTATTAATTGAACTGAATTAATTGAGAGGGATGCATGATTACCTCCAGGTGTCTGTAAAGACAAAGAGCACTGGAAAATCAGGAAAAAAATAATGGCCTTAGCATGTGGCATGGCAATAAATAATACTGAACGGGGAGAGATGTGTACAGGGGTGCCCAGGTAGCATGAACTCACACCAAAAGGAGTGACATGGCATTGAATAGAACCCTTGTACTAACCCAGTGCCTCAGATACCTCAAATCCTTAAAACTAAGTAAAAGCCCTGTCCTCCTTAGCTCACAGGTTTTATGACAACCGGTAAGATATTGTTGAAGGTACTGCTTTCTCAATGAAAGATTCAAAAATCAATGAGGACTATAAAATGGGAATCAGATGGTTTCTGTTACTAAAGCCAGTGATGACACTGGTTTTTCACTCTAGCTGCAATACACACACATGCATATACATATACACACATATGCACACATAATATATGTATGTGTTTATAATATATTTTCTAAACATAAATTCCTTGAAAGAAAAGTGATGATATTTTACATCCTTAAACTACCACTAAGGCCCAGAAAAATTCCAATAGATAAACAAATCAGACTTGTTGGCATTCTTGGTTGGTTTTAGGACCTTAACCATGGCTGCATATTCAGAAGCATTTGACAAGTTAAAAAAATAAATTAATAAAATACCCAAGCCAAACTCATTTCTCAGGGCTAGGAGAGACAAAATAATTTTTAATTACTTGTGCCTTAGTCTTCCACTAAAAGGTGATAAAAGTGTTCTGCTTTCAACATGATTAAAGTGAACCTAAGTTACAGGAACAAGTCAAAATAGAGATTGTAAAATGTTAATAAACTATGCACATTAATATAATTTTTTTTTAAAGATTTGCTTATTTGTGCATACAGAACTGGGGTACAGGCCAGAGGCACAGGGGTGGTGAGAGGCTTCACCAGAGACAGAGTGGGGAGCAGAACAGGCAGATCGATGAAGTACACTGCTCAGGGGAGCAGCGAATGGGTCAGGAGAGGTCTGCCACACCATGTGGTCACCTCCGGGGCAGGCGGGAATCGAACTCACGCGGAAGCGGCTTTAGATTCTCAGTGCTGTGTTTTAACCCGCTGCGCCACCCGGGAGGGCCTGTAGTACAAATTTTATTCCTAAATTTTTAAGAAAGCAATTCCTACCCTTGCAATTTTCCTCTAAATCTTGTTATTTCAAAATAGAACTTTAAAAAGGGGTGATAGGGCCCTCCCTGGTGGTGCAGCAGGTTAAAACCCAGCACTGAGAAGTTAAAGCCTCTTCCGAATGAGTTCAGGGCAGGTGGGCCTGCCCTGGAGGTGACCACAAGGCACCACAGACCTCTCCTGACCCGCCTGCTGCTCCCCTCATTAGTGTATTTCGTCAGTCAGCCTGTTCTGCTCCCCACTCAATCTCTGGTGAATCCTCTCACTGCTCCTACATCTCTGGCTTGTACTCCAGTTCTGTAAGCACAAATAAATAAATCTTTAAAAATAAATAAATAAGTGGGTAGAGAGTTCTTGTACTTCAGTGATTCCTAACACAATGATGCCCATTTCCAGAGCTCTTCTACTTTGCCAATTAGCTCGGGAATCCTAAGATTTTTAGATATGACAGAAAAGAATGGGCCAGTTTTCTGCAAGTATGATAAATAAAAATAGTCACCCATACCAAAAACAGTGATTTGGTGACCCATCAGTCCTAGTACCATATAATGAACTGACACTGCCATCCCCAAGAGGCACCTCTGGATCCATGTCTGGAGTCATGTACAAGTATCTATTACAAATGACCTTTACAGCATCTTCTCTTCACAATGTTCCCTACTGTTATGATTCCTAAGATTTATAATTAATTTTAATCATTTTCTCTCCTCACATCTATTTAATATAATCATCTCTTGCCTCTCCATAATTTGGGAATACAATGAAACACAATCCTAGAGTCCCTGATTGAACCATCTTTGTATTTCTAAAAAAAGTATACTACCCAGTCATAGTTGAAGGGTTTGAATTATTTATGAAATAAATATGTTATTTTAATTAAAAGTTTTACACATATAATCATAAATAGGATCACTCTGTAGCATTTTATCTCTTGTCATTTTTACATTTTATATGGAGGCTATGTAGCTCTAACACTATTTAGATTAATTTAATAAAGAGACTAGACTAGAATTATCTGATTTTTAAAGGATTACGGTAATTCAGTATAATTCATATAAATGTGAAACCTTCCTTAAATATTAAAGTTTCCCAATAACTTAATCACTATAATAGTTTTATGCATCTTTTGAGGTTGTTTTTCAGCATTACAATATCTCAGAAATTCATCCATATCCTCAGGTTTATCTCTGTTCCCTTTATACCAAGGTACCTCTTGATTAAAAATGATGTCTCATCTGCTATGAATCATTTAGATCTTGTGCATCACTTTCAAATAGTCCTCAGAAACATAATTCATGTTCTCTAGCCTCCATTCAAAATAATGTAGTTTTTATTGGATTTCTACACCACCCAAAATATTGCCCTTATGAAAGTGAGCACGTGTCTGCCTCTCTTCATGCTGTATCCCAAATTAAACAATTGACTCCTTACAAGCTAAAGTAATTATCACTTTACTAACCCAGAACCTAACACATGGTAGGTCCTCAATAAAAATTTATGTTAATATAAAGAATTAATGAACTTATTTGCCTAGCACTGGAGTACCAGATGAATCATAGTCTCATCTTTAACACAAGGAGCTTAAACCTACCTGAGGAAGATGAATTTACATTTTCAAAAAGAGAGTGAGTAACAGAGAGCATATGAACTGAGGTATGTCAGGAGTGCTACAAAGGCTTGGCAGAGGTAGCACTTAATAAAGAACTTTGAAAGCTGAATGGCTCTGAAAGACAGAGCAACAAGGATAAAGTCTGAAGTCACTATCAGTTTGGGGAAGAAGCAAGCACTTCTGTGGGACAGGAAGCAGGCCAGTTATACTTAACTGAGGGGCTTTGGAGGAAAAACTATTTAGGGGAAAGGTTTGGAAGAGAAAATGGGCTTTCTACAGATCGTAGTATAGAGAAATTAGAAGCTAGAACTTTTATCTGTAAGCAGACTCTAACAAGAGTTAAAATTCTATATAAAAAAATGAATCCATGA